TTCATCCGATAAACAACCTTTTTCTTAGCTTGGCCGCAGGTCTGCTGGTGTAATTACAGCGCAGTAACAACCAGTCCATGAGAGTTTGTATAAACTAAATGGAGCTTGGGTAGAAGATAGGTTGAGTAGTTCAGTTTTGGTGTCTTATAAGGTGTAAACCAAGTGTTTGGTTTAGTTAAGTCTTCTGGATTGGAATCCCCCATACTTAGGTTGGAAAACTGGACTGGGAAACAAAATCCGTGTGTTGTTTTTCTTTTTGCACTTATTAAGCCTTTGATTTGTGCATGCACACACACCACTTTTATAACCGTGAGACAACTGCGTTGTAAAGCTGTGTTTATGTTGAACATTTCACAGTTCCGCTATGCAAGTTACTCGGAGGTGTTGGACCTCTTATTCAATTGTCCCTGTGATTTCCAACATCTACTATCAGAGAAGCATGCTCAATACTCCGAGTACATATGTCTTTGGTTCAAGATGAGTCGTGAAGTAATCTCGTCCATTCATCCACCTGTGTTCGATGGGAACAACTACACCTACTTGAATAGCATGATGGAGGCCTACCTGTTAATGCTTGGTGATGAAACTTGAGAAGTTGTAAAACTTGGCTGGACTCCTCCAACAAAATTTATGCCTGGAGAAACTCAGAACGAACCCCGAACTATCATTCTGAAGCCGAAAAATGAGTGGACACCTAGAGAAAAAATTGCTGCTAGTGAAAATGCTAAAGATGTAAATGTCATATTTGCTTCTGTTGATGAAGCTCAGTTTCATGTCATCTCAAACTGCAAGAAAGCAAATGATGCATGGAGAGCCTTGAAAATGCATTTGAAAGGATTGTTGAAGTTAAGGAAACAAAGCTCCAAATGGTGGAAAGTATGTTCGAATCCTTGAAAATGGCTGATGATAAAGCAATGTATGAGTTCTACACTCGATTCCAGGATGTGGTAAACCAAGCATATACTCTTGGGTTGGAATATGATGAACAAAGGCTGGTTCAAAAGATGTTGAGAAGTGTGAACAAAAAGTTCAAAATCAAAGTCTTTACTCTTGAGGATAAGAAGAAAACCAAGAACATGAATCTTGAAACCTTACATGGTATTCTAATGAATTGGGAGATAAATCATATTGAAGAAGAAAGCTCAAAAGGGATTGCTCTTACTACTGAAGATCTGGAGCTTGTCGAATCTGATAAAAAAATGTCTTTGTTGTCCAAGAAGTTGTCTCGGAAAAGCATGCTAAAAAATTCCACAATTCTGGAAACAGAGGTCACTATGGTTGTAAAACTACTGGTGAACAACAAAAGTATCCAAAACAGAAAAATGCTAATTAGAGCAAAGGAAATGGAGCGCATGATAAAAACTACAAGAAGAAGTTCAACACTGCTACTAGGCCAAAAAACTCAAGTGATCCAAAATGTTTTGCATGTGGCGGAGTTAGCCATGTGAAAGTGAAAGGTGCAACATTCAAGAAGAAAGAAAAGCATGCATTTCAAGCTACCTGGAGTGATAAAGAAGACAGTCAAGAATCTGAAGATGAAAGTGATAAGGAAAGCGTTGTTGCTATTGTTGCCAAAGAAGGAGAATCTAGTAAAGGAAAAGAAAGTGTTGTTGAAGAAGAATGTAACATCAACGACAGAGTCGAGATAGACATCTATGAGCTTATGGAGCTTATGAGGAAGTTGTTGTATAATAGAAAATTTGTGTCAAGAGAAACAAGGATTTGATCAACATAGTCTACCGTTTTGAAGCTCGAGTTGAAAAGGCAAAGAAAGTGAATCAAGCAATGATTGAAATCAAGGAAGGACTTCAGAGGGAAGTCAAGCAACTGAAAATGAAGTGTGATGATCTGATAGAAGAAAATGATAGGCTCAGAAAAGGAAAAGACAAACTCGATAAAGTTTTATCGATTGGTAAGCCATTTGAAGATCATCGTGGGATTGGTTATCAAGAATCCATGAAGGTGAAACCAACTACCTTTGTGAAAGTTGGTTTGCTTACTGATGTGAAAATTCCAGAGAAACCTCCAAAGGGGAAGAACACTAAAGGTCCCAAAGAAAAACATAAAGGAGAGGCGAAATCAAAATTGCAGAAAGAAAATGCGTGTCAATCCGTCATTACAACAGAAGAGTGACTTCATATACTATTTTCGAGTTAGTCATGTTGAATCTCATTGTTTCAAGCTGGTTAGGGATTTGATGTCTGGAAAGAAGGTCCATTGGCCCTCAGAAATAAAAGGGTAAATTTCACAATGGAATGGAGACATAAGAAGAATCAATCTCAAATGATGTGCAATGTCATCCTATCTAGTCAAGAAGCATCTCATTCATCCCGATGGTATTTTGATAGTGGATTTTCGTGCCATATGATGAATCAGAAGCATCTATTAAAGAATTATGTAGCTCACACTTTTGGAGAAGTGATATTTTGAGATGGAGCTAAAAGAAAAATTGTGGGCTATGGTTCTCTTGAAGCCAAAGGTATACCCGAAGTTGTCGAAGGTATATTTTGTTGAAGGCTTGAGTACTAATCTCATTAGTATCAGTCAGTTATGTGACGATAAGATGCAAGTGAAGTTCACTAAGGATGCTTATGAGATGTACAACAACAAGAAGAAGTGTGTGATGACTGGAAAAAGGTCAAGGAACAACTGCTACTTACTTGACAAACCCGTGGATATTGCATTCATCTCAAAGGATGATGAAGCCCTTCTATGGCATACAAGACTTGGCCATGTCAACCAACAGAACTTGATGGAGTTGCGCAAGCAAAGAATTATCAGAGGACTTCCAAAGTTTTCGAAGTTACCTAACTTCATTTGTGGTTATTGTGCTCGAGGAAAGCAGAAGTGTGTGTCTCATCCGTAATCGAAACATCAAAGCAGAAACACATGTTTGGATTTGCCGCACATGGATTTGATGGGTCCAGTGGATACACCCAGTCTTGGAGGTAAAAGATACATATTTTTATGAAGAAGAAATGAGATAAATTTAATATCTTTGAGAAATTGTGCAAAAGATTAATGAATGAGAAAAGATCAAAGATGAATCAAATTCATACCGATCATGGAAAGAAGTTTGAGAATTAGGAGTTTGATGGTTTCTACACTGATCTTGGAATACTTCATGAGCATTCAGCCCTGAAGACCCCACAACAAAATGGAGTTGTGGAAATGAAGAATCGAACACTTGAAGAAATGGCTCGATAAATTATGCAGGCCAAAGGTGTTGCGAAGTACTTATGGGCTGAGGCTATCAATATCGCATGCTATGTGATCAACAAAATATATCTGAGACCCCACACTAAGATTACACTATATGAGCTATGGAAATGAAGAAAGCCGAATGTGTCGTACTCTCACACATTTGGATGCCAATGTTATATCTTGAAGGATATGAGTTATTGAAGGATATGAGTTATCTTCAGAAATTTGATGCAAGATCAGATGAAGGAATATTCATTGGTTATTCTCACAACAGCAGAGCTTATCGTATTTACAACAAGAGGATGAAGAAAGTTATGGAATCGATGAATGTAAATTTTGATGAATCTCGTGTGGAAATGAGATCAATCAATGGTGCTACGGAATCTTCAACCCTAGTACCAGTGTCATCAGCTTCCTCATCAACCGGTTTCCCTTGAGGTTTTGACTGATCTGGTTTATCGGATTGATCAATAGTATTATCCTGTTGTTCTTCCTCTTACACAACTCTGTCAGGAGTCTCAAACTCCACATTCTAGTTAGCACCACAATATTTTGTACCTGCAATACTTTCACAACCTCTACTCTGATCAAGCATAGCAGATTCACCAAATGTTACATTTATGCTAAAATTTACCAGGATTTTTACCTTATGTACACCACAGTCGATAAGCTTTGACTCATGATGCATACCATATAAATATGCATTTTACCGCCCTCGGCTCCAGCTTACCATCATTCACATGAGCATATAGAGGGCATCAAAATATTCTTAGATTAGAGTAATCAGAGGGTTTACCGAACCATACCTCTTGAGGAGTCTTTAAGTCAATTGCAGTTGATGGATATCTATTAACGAGATAGCTAGCAGTGTTAACTGCTTCAGCGAGAATCGCTTAGATAAGCCAGCAAATATGCGTATACACCTAGCACGCACTATGAGGGTTTGGTTCATACGCTCTACAACCTCATTTTGTTGTGGTGTGTGTCGTACAGTGCAGTGCCTCACTATACCTTCTTTCTTGGATAAATCATCCAAATGGAGCGTTGCAAAACTCCAATTTTTGACCATGGTCTTCCACTACTTGAACTTCTCAAGCACCTCATCTTTAATCTTCAGAAAGTATAACCAAACATTTCTTGAATAATCATCTATGAAAATGCCAAAGTAAGAACAACCGCCCTATGATTTTACCGGAGAGGGACCCTATAAATCTAAATGAACATACTCCAGAATTTATTTTAAAGTGTGATAACCAATACTAAACCTCACCCTGTGTTGCTTCACTTTTACACAAGCCTCACAGAACTAAATTTTACTTGTCATATCCCTACTAAATAAACCCTGCTTGCTTAGCACAGACAACCCCTGCTCACTCATGTGACCCAATCGACGGTGCCATAAATTTGTCTTGTAATTATGTTTATCCCAAGGATTGGGATACTGCTGTCGTTCCCATTACTGAACTGCCCTGTAGAAAATAACTTTCATTCTGCAGTTTTCCCTTCATCATCACCACAACACCTTTCAGGACTTTCACCCACTCACCTTCACCATGATATTTTAAACCATTATTGGCTAAGGTGCCAAGAGAAATCAAATTCTTTATGAGTTCAAGAACATACCAGCAGTCAAATTTCATGACAGTACATTCATGCAATTTTATCTGCACTATCCCGCTCCCCTTTATGGCTAAAACTCTATCATCACCTAACTTCACCGTTTCATTCTACTCCTTAAAAGGGGTGAGTAGGTTTTGAGAGTACGCCATATGGTGAGAAGCACCAGTATCCATAATCTAGGTATCAACAGTACTAGCACTACACACTGTCAGAACTTCACCAAGGTTCCCATCATCAGAGTTGTCTTGTACTACAGCAGCACTGCTACTGTTGCTAGACTCAACTTTTGTACTTTTCTTCTTCTGTGGACAATCCCTTTTAATATGTTCCTTCTCCTTGCAATGGTAAAAGTTAACTTTGCTACAGGATTTTGATTTTGAACGCGACCTCGCATTCCCATTACCCCTCTGTTGTAGTCTTCCCCAAAAATTGGACATAAGAGCATCTTTCACATCATTAACAAAAATTGTAGTTCTACCATATATCATGGTATCTACAAAATTCTCATATGAACCAGGTAATGAACACGGTAAAATTAGGGCTTGATTTTCATCATTTATTTTAACCTCATCCCCTTGAAGATCAAAATAATACGGTTAAAGGTATCAAGATAATCCTTTATGTTAGTACTTTTGGAGATCCGAAGGGTGTAAAGTCGTTGTTTCTGATATATCATGTTCGTGAGAGAGTTGTACTGGTACTTCTCACACAGTTTATCCCATAGCCCAGAAGCCGTCATCTGATCTACAAACTCCTGTAACACCTCATCAATAACTGAAAGCAAGATCACGGAATGAGCCCTTGCCAAAATCTCCTTCTTCATCTCCTCCTTCGTGTCTTTAGGAAACTTGTCTTCTCCTTCCAATGCAGCCGCACATCTATGTTAAACCAGAATTTCTTTCATCTTGATCATACAGAGCGTGAAGTTATTCGACCCATTAAACTTCTCCAGATCAAAATTATACGAGGACATCTTCACTCAATCAGATATGGCTTTGATACCACTTGTTTTGAGAAAATGAGAAAGAAAACAAATAAAGAACACAGAGATTTTACGGGGTTCAGTGACGGTATCTACGTCCACGAGAAGAAACCGGAGAGATTTTATTATACTGATTCGGAGAGTTAGAATCATTGTCCTACAACTAGTAACCATAGCTATCTATTTATAAGTGCCCCAAAACGCCCTAAAACCTAAGTCCATTTATTATTAATTAGGATGGCCAAAAGGAATCCTGCCAATTGAAACAGCCTTTTCGCTTTCGTTCCGGGTCAGATACACCGCTAAATCCAAGTCACGTTTCAACAATTATAAATCGGATCCGGGTTATAGGAATTGGGTTGCGGGTTGGGTTCGGATAATGGGCCAAATTCAATAGTAAATTTTTCCTAAACCACAATAAATTTATTGCAATAAGAAATAGTTTATACCAAATTTGATATGATTATGATAAAACAATATAAAAAAGCATGCATAAAAGATTCAAAACTAATCATTGGACTATAGTCTAATGGTTTAAATTATTTGATTAAGTTAAGAATCAATACTATAAAATATCCTACAAAAAAAAGTTATTGAAGTACTTTATAGATATATCAGTTTACATAGATTTGTTATTGTATAGAATTATAGAAAATATATAATTCGATCTCCAATTGATCGAAGGGTATGCAGTTTGTATACTGCAAACTATTATGAATATAGTTTTTGTGGCCCAAAAAATTGAAAATGCGAAGACTTGTTATGTATTGTATCAAGTCGATCTTTTAGTTTTAGAATGTTACCTATGTTCCATATTTTCAGCTATTGCAATAAGATCCCACCTTATCCTCATCTCGTCTTGCATTTAGATGTATTTTTGTTTTGATTTAATGTTATGACTTATTTAGAATTTTGTAATTTTGCGATATTAGGATTAATATCATATGATGTTTTGACAGGAGGTGTTGCACATTCTATTTTTCAGTTGAATACAGTGAAGGAAAAATGAAAATGCCTAGGAGGTTTATTAGGAAAATATAAATGAAATAGAACTACTCAAAACCCTTATTTTGTATAATGGGGAAATCAATCTAAAACTATGCCTCAACAATTCGGAACTAGTTATGCGGAGTTCAAAATGATTGTGACAAGCTTTCTAAATTTTTTTGAACACATGTAGTAGAACATTAATCTAAATAATATTTATTTTTACATTTTAATTAAATCTAAGTATGTAATGAAATTTTAAAAATAGAAATAAATGTTACTTACAATGTTTTTTAGGAAAAATAAATTTCTAAAATGCAACCATGTGACCAAAAAACACAAACAAGCAACAATATATTAGCGTAAATATTTTTAACAGAATACAAAATTCATTATTCTTAAATTCAAAATTAAAAAAAAAAAAAGTTCACTAACGATTAATTATTATAACCAGGCACAACGACAACATTAATCTCAACACCTACATCGACTCATTCAGCAACCACCTTGATTATTTTGTTTGTTAACAATGTCATTGCCATTGCCGCTGCCACTGCCACTGCCACTCTGCCCTGTCTGATTATATGGCACCCTGGTGCCTGACCCCGCTCCAAATGGATAATCGACGTCCATATTGGTTGCTGGTGGAGCAATGGGTGCTTTCCCAACCACATTGCTCACGTTCTTTCCAAACTTAGTCACAGCTTCCTTCAACAATTGGAGTTCCGCATATCCGAGTCCCTCCATACTTGGGCCTCCTAGGGGTATCATACTCTCCCTTCTTAACCTCTCCAGCTCTTCTCTCCGCGCTTTCTCCGCAGCTATCCCAGCCTCAGCTCGAGCCAAATCATCAACTTCATTTTTCTGTATCTGCACGAAGTCTCGACCCTCTCTCTCTTGATTACCTACACCAGTATTCTCTGGGGTTAGGAACTTGTCAGATACAAAGTTTATACCTGGATGTCCAAACGAATGGGCTTTGTCTCCGGGCGAGAACACTACGACACCAGCCTCTGCACCTGTTAGGGTGCAAAGTTCGCTTGCTTTTTTGAAAACCCCTTCTCGGCGCTTGGAGAAAGTCACTTGAAGATTGCTCTCCTTTTCTATCTTTTGCAAGGGGATTTTGCGACGGCCAAGCTTTTGTTGTGAAGATTCAGATTGATCCCCAGAAGTACTCATGTTGTCGAGGGTGGAGGACACGATATGCTTGTAAGAATTTAGATAGGAAAAGAACAAATAAGAGAAAGGTGCATTGGCAATATTGGTGTATTTTTTTCATGCATGGATGTCCTAATATTTATACTAGTTCAAACATGATTAATTTTTTTGTAGGAAATTTGGATTGATGGCCAAAATCCATATTTTGTCTTACAATTTTTATCATATTAATAAAAATCTTATGATTATTAGCTATGGTTAATTAGTTTTGGATATTGGAGTTTACCTAATTCTTAACCCAAAATCTTGGAGTCAATAGTAATTGATATACAATGATAGTGTTATTTTTTATTTTGTACCATTCCATTTATTAGAATTTCTTTAGAAATTATAGCATCTAATATTATTTTCCATTTAAATTTACATTATAAAAAATAATAAAAAGAAAATAGAACAAATTAATAGGTTGTAATAACACCTTCATTTTATTTTATTTTACTATATTTTTTTAAAGGAAATTGGGTATGTGATTTCAATTTATTTTGAATTTTTAACTATTGAAATGAATTCTTTAGCATTTGATATTTTATCGGCAAAAAAAGTGAAAACTTACAATATACTAATTATGAAATAAATAAATGCACTAATGAACTTTCGAATAATAAAGTGAATATAATAGTTATACATAAAAATAATAATAAAAAAAAAAAAACACAAGATCGATTGACTACACAAAACATAAGATTTGACCACGTTATAATTTATTTAAAATTTCACGACAATTTGATTTGTAGACAACTTTACCGATATTTGACAGTTTATTTCATAGGAAGAGGATCATGTGCTGATGTTGTAATTTTATTCAGCTGTGCGGGTTTCTTAAAAAATTATATGTTTATCCTCATATTAAATATTTATCATTAGATATCAAATGAGATTAAGAAATGCGATTAATCCCAATAATTTTGATTTATGCATTTCAGTATGGTATCCATACCTTCATATGTTTTCATGAAAACATTTTTGATAATGGTCCTTTCCAAATAATGTTTTGTAATGTCATCCAGTTAAATGTTGTGGAAATTATCTTTTATCCATGTGCATATATATATATATATATATAAAATTGATTAGGGGATAACTTCAAAATGAGACGATTAACTAATTGAAAAAAAATAAAAATAAAAGAAATTGTTCACTATTACTTTTAAATCAATATATTATATTTTCCTTGAAATATGTTGGCATATTCAAAATTGCCAAACCCTTTTGTTTCTACTTTTGGCATATGAGCAAGTTGCAGGATGTTGTTGCAGGTTCTGTTTGATACCATTTCGGGAAACCTACCAACTGCAGAGTTGACCGAGTTACAGCTTTTGGATGCATCTTGTGTGTTCTACACTCAATGGAATAGGACAAATGAATATGCATTGGACAGAGGACGTGCAGGAGAAGCTGCATGTATTGTCCTCTCATACTGGATGGCATTAAATGACCTTGAACACACTGCCCCAAAAGTTGTCACAGTCAACTTTTGTCTTTTGTGTAATGTGTATATATTTGATATGGATGTTTGTTTGTATTCGTGGGTGAGCAACCAGAACTTAGAGAAGTATTCTCTCCACCTGTTAGAGTGTTGAGAGAGCTCATCCATGGAGGATTGAAGACGAGAAGAAGGATTCTTGGAGTCGAAGCCGAAGAAGATATTCATCCGGTAAACAACCTTATTCTTAGCTTGGTCGCTGGCCTGCTGGAGTTGTTGCGGTAGAGTAACAGCCAGTCCATGAGAGTTTGTAAAACTAAATGGAGCTTGGGTAGAAGATAGGTTGGGTAGTTCGGTTTGGTGTCTTATATGGTGTAAACCAAGTGTTTGGTTTAGTTAAGACTCCTGGATTGGAATCCCCCAGACGTAGGTTGGAAAACCGAACTGGGTAAACAAACTTGGTGTGTTGTTTTTCTTTTTGCACATTTTCAGCCATCGATTCGTGCATGAACATACACCTCTGTTATAACCGCGAGACAACTACGTTGTAAAGCTGTGTTTACGTCTAACGTTTCACAGTTCCGCTGTGCAAGATACTCGGAGGCGTTGGACCTCTTTCGCGCCCCTCTCCGCGACTTCCAACAAAATATCACTTCCAATACAAAAGTCTCTGTATCACATTGCATCAAATAATTACATCAAACGATATATTAAACTAACCTTAAAAATATTAAAACAATACTACTCTATGGTTTTTTTTTTTTTTTTTACCGAAATTCTTTCTTTCAATTATTATCTTTGATATCAACATGAATGTATACATATTCATATACATATATATACATATTTTTTTAGCATTAGTAATAGCGAAGATAGAACACAAGATGTAAATCTTATAGTACAAACTACAAATGGACTTTCGGGAAAATTAATAAATAAATAACACTCAAAAATATTTTCAGCCTAATATATATATATAATATATTTAAACTTGAAACATGAATCTTTCAAGTCTTAAACTAACATTTGAATTTATTTTTAAAACGCATAAATATACATAAGGGGCCATATAAAAGTTTATTTTCACTTCATTTGAACTAACGGACAATGAATGGAAGAAGTGGCTATTAATAGCGGAAAAATAAACTATTGTAGTCTATAGTAATTTACTAGCGTACAATTATATTTATAGTGCAGAAACATTTGTGAATATAAAGTTTGCGTATCTATTTTTTAATATGCTCGGATTTCTTCCATTAAAATTTTGATATACATAGCAATAAATTAAATTTCTTACGATTATGAGAATATCAACATAGATATGGAAAACAAAAAAAATTACTAGCGAATACAAGAACACGAAAAATATCAATTTATATATATAAATTTACTTTTATATGAAATTTAGAAGATGTTTAAGAAATGTAATAAGAAAATTAAAATAAAAGTGTAAAATTGTGTGTTTGATCGGTTTGAGGTATCTTTGTGATGTAGGGTATAGGGAATTATGTATATAATAAAAAATTTATATTTTGGGTTGAAATGTTAATTTTTCGTGGGACAATAGAATATATGTTATATACATTATGTGAATGTGTGTTTGTGTTGTATTCTTTTGTTCTATTCATATATAATTATATCTTAAATCATTTTTCTTCAACTAGCTAGTTTTACTTACATGTAGTCGCACTCTCTAAGGAGCGGGAAATGTCTCCTTCCAATGCTATGACTACTATCAAAAACTTTTACAAGGCTAAATTTTGTGTAAAAAAGTTGTTTTATATGTCCTTGTTATCACCTAAAATTAATCACGGATTAGCACTACTTAACCTAGAATTGTTCCATGTGAAAGACTGACACGCATGATGTGCAACTGGAACCACCAGAGCACGCATAGATGGATAGTCCGAGCGTTGTCAGATTTATTTTTTAAAGGCGAGGCGCTGTCAGATTTATTTTCCTGAAGGTGGGGCGGTGCCAGATATATTTTAGATAGTTCGGGTGCTGTCAGATTTATTTTATAATGTACGAGCGTATCTTTATACTCCGTCCGTCCCGGAGCTAAATATTCATTTGATTTTTGTACGTAGTTTTAGAAATATTAGTATCATATTGGGATATAGTAGAAATAAAGTAGAAATGACTAAAATAACCTTATTAGTATGTATGATATAAAGGTAATGACATTTGTGTAATATATTGTAAGTTGTAAGGGTATTTGTAATGTTAGGTAGAAGTAGAGTTACTAAAAAAGGAAATGGATACTTTGTTATGAGACGGACTAAAATGGAAAATTTGATATTTTGTTATGGGACCGGGGGAGTATATGATTTACATTAAAATAGGTATTGCAAGTTTCTTTTTCAATTTTAAGTGGATGAGTTTCTTGTGTGAACTATGTAAGTTATTTCTGTAGTTTTTTTTCTTTTCATCGTGTAGCATTTCTTATTCTCCTTTAAATTTTTCTTTACCCCAATTTTCTTGTTCTGAATCTGTTGATTCTAGTTGGAACACTTGGTATTAGAGTTTGGTTGATGCCCAAATATCTCAAATTTAAAGACATGTCGATAGTCACAACAAGGTAAAGAAAGCGTTGTCCCTTTCTAATGTCCTATGATAACCACAACGAATTAGACTACCTGGGCAATCAAGATGGAAGTCATCATGGATGCTCAAGGGATTGGGAGTCCATTGAACCACCGGCCAAAGCGGTTGTGGATGATGAGAAGAGTAGAGCCGCTCGGGATAGCGAAGGAAGTTTGGGACGCACTAAAATTGAGGTATGCAAACGTTGAAGAGTGAATTTGAGATGTTACGAATGATTGATGGGGAAATGGTACATTATTTTTCTGGAAAATTAAGTGGTATGACATCGAAATTCAGCAGCCTAGGTGCTAACTTGAAGACAGTGCACTTGTTCGAAATCTTTTTGATTTTGTTTCAAACAAGTATCTTCAATTGGTTGCTTAAGTTGAACAATATTCAGACATAGATGAGATGCATTCGAAGAAGTTGTTGGTCGTCTCAAAGCTTATGAAGACCGATTGAAACTTCGAAGTGGAAATACTAGTGAGGGGAGCTTACTGCTCAATTAAACTTACAACTAGTAAATCAGAAGACTTCGGGAGGAAGATTGTCATCGACTGGAATAGGGAGTGGTTTTTACCATAGTGATAGAAGTGGTCGTAAGGCAGAGATGGTCGTGGGAATTTCGCACCATCTCGAGACTATGGAAATGACCAATATTGGGGCAGAGACAAACAACACATAAAATGTTTCAATTGTGAGAAATATGATTATTATGCGTCAGAATGTAAGTTTTCAAAGGAAAAAAATAATGAAGCTAACTTAATCCAGGTTGAAGAGGAGGAAGCAGCGCTGCTTCTTAGTGTTTCCGGAGAAAATTTCGACCAAGTTTGTGTTGATTAATGAGGACAGCCTGTATCGAAATCAAAATGAAGGACTTGATGTTGATTTATGGTATTTATGGTATTTAGACGATGGTACAAGAAACCATATGACGTGGAGAAGAGATTTT